ATAAGGAAATATTTTAAAAGCGATACACATGTAAAAAGAAATATTCAAGTAAAGAACGAAAAATAAAAAAGTAAAAGAGTTCTTAAAACCAATTTGTTAAAGGTAAAATAAATGTCAGTTCATTATCACTTAGAAAAAATCAAACATTCAAATTAGATTTTAGCAATAGCATTCAAGATTAGAGGAAACACCATGACTAAATTAATGAAGCAAAAGTTGATCTATTTATAGACATATTTTATTTTATTTTTTTATTTTTTGTCATTTAGGTGCCCCAAGATGACCTAACGGTCTTTTCACAGAACACCACGGAAGAAACACACCACAGAAGCACCACGTACTAGGTAATTCACGCCTCCTTCCTTACGCTGACGCGAAATTATGTCCAAAGCTCGTTTCGAACCTGGACCACCTGCTTATAAAGTAAGCGCTCTAACCACTGCACCACGGTCGCACAATATAAGTGAATTTTAGTTCAATTAAACCATTCAAATTCGTATATGTTAAAATTAATAATTATTAACATGTTTCAATTCATTTTTAAACTGTTGTGTAACCTTTTTCGCACTTGCAATTTTACGCACTTGCAATTTTTTCACAAACAAGATCCGCGATGTTAAATTGAATATGTAATTTATTGTGAATTATATTCAGGGACAACGTAGGTATTATGAAAAAGTTTTGTCTGGTATTATGAACTACTTTGTCAAAAAAGGACTGAAATATTTTACGAGATAGTTCCGTCTTTTTTTTATACATGAACATTTTTTTTTTTTTTTTTTTTTTTTTTTTTTACATTTATTTTGCTGTTTAACAAATATAATCCACACATATATATACAAGAAAGAAAGAAATATGTCCGTATAACAAAGAAGACAGTAAAATCTTGTCAACAAGCACCGTTTTTGTATATACAGTATGTAAAATAAACTATACTTTTTTACAATGATCTTTATAAAATCATCGCAATCTTTTCATAGAGCCCCCTATATACATTTTCATTAGGTTATGGATATTAAATTAAATTAAAAAACCTAATGGGCATAAAACTGCTGCGCTGATCAATAAAAACAAATAAATAAGATTATAAAGAAAATTACTTTGTAATCCTTTTAAGCACAAATAATAATCAAATTTTAAAAATTTCTTTTTTTATTAGAAACTTAAATGAACTTAATGACTTTGCCATACATTTGGATCCTTTTTGATATCTATTCCATATATTTGGCCCCCGATATGCAATGCTATATTCAGTATATTTATTAAGGTTTTGAGGCAGTTTATATGTGTTACTTATATTTGCTCTTAGATAGTAGTTTTCATTTATGTTTATTTCAAACTTGTTAGTAAAGTTTGTAGGAGAGAGATTATTATTAAATTGATACATAAAAATTAAATGCTGATAGTTATTTATTTCAAAAACATCCATCATTTTCATATCTTTCAGTATAGGTTTTGCATGCTCCCGCTTATTTTAAAAGTAAATGATTCTGCATGCGTGTTTTTGTAGACTATAGATTTTTTTAAGTTTTGATGGCTGAGTACTTGCCCATGATATGTTTGCATAGCTGATAAAGCAATGAATTAGTCCAAAGTAAATTAGTTTTAGACTTTGTTTATTGATATATATTATTGTTGTATGTTGATTTTATAGACGTTTAATGAGCCAAGTATACGCTAAAGAGGCTCACATAGTACAGTCTATCAGCTAAATAGTATTTTGCACGCGTATTTTTATTTACAGAACAATTTTTTTTAACTTTTTCGATTTGTACCTGCCTATACAACATTCGAATAAATTAAATAACATTAAATGAAAGAAAAATGAAAAACCTCTTAAAGATTTTTAAATTGTTTAGCCCTATATATTATGGCAATATTTTTTGATATTTTTCTGTTAGTTATTATTATTCTATTCTTAAAAACATATCTTAAACCAACTTTAGATCAAATATTTCTACCCAGCGGGCATAAAGCGCCCTACGGACATGGGACGTCCGCAAGACGTCGAATAGACTTCCTACGGACGTATGTGCCCGTTGAGTATATTAATTTTACTTTCGCATATAAAAAGAAAACTAAGCAGATTTTCAACAACTATATATAAACATCATTGGTTTCTGATTAACGATCAATGATTCTCATATACTTGAAGTTGTCATCTAGCACATATACCCAGTGCCGGATCAAGAGAAGGCTAGGGGAGGCTATAGCCCCGGTCCCCTCAAATTTAGGGGCCCCAAAAAATTTTAGAGGACGTTTTTGTTTTCTTTAGTCATTTTTAGGCTCTGGCCCATAAAAAGGCCTCCAAAAACAAAAATAACCCCGGGCTCCAAGAAGTCTTATTGCGCCACTGCATATATCACCTTGAAAAATCTTACAAATTTTTACAAAGAAAGATGTACAGTTAACAAAGAGCAAGCAAAATGGCTAATAATTTTAAAATTCTCAAATTTTGAAAAACTTATGTTCATGAAGCAATAATGCTTTATCAGTATGTTTAATTTATCATAACGATTAATTACCTTCATGAATTTTCAGTTCGCAAGTTCCATGAGTTTTCAGTTAACAAAAACTTCGAAGTTAATATATTATATTAAAAAAGCTAATATATGAAAACACAACTATATACTGGAAAACTGCAATCCTTGTTTATAAGTTATATTTTTAAATCACACCACAGCAACAGGCCTCATATCATTACCAAACGTTTTTTTATTCGTTGCTTGAGCATATACTACCTTGATATCCTATATTGATTTCAATGAGGCGATTATCTGCCTTGTAGCCTTTGCACTTTTTTCAATTTGGCCGATTTTCCTTGGTATTATATAAATAATGTATACTAGTGGTAAAGTTTCGTTAAAAGTCCATTTTAACGTTACTAAAGGTATATCAAACGGTTAAAGACTGAATTTAAACGTATGATTTCGTTTTGTTTTGTCTTTTAATTACTTTACTAAATTTAGATGAAAAGAAAACTTCTGAATACTTTTGACACAACCTTTCTGATGTTTCTCATATTGATTGTCCAGTTTCCATAGGCGACAGCAATAATTAAACTTTACATATAGAATTAATTTTTTTGGCATGATCTAACATTAAACATTCATATATAATTTTATTAAAATATATTTCACATTTTATTTAAATAAAAACATTTACATTTAAAAACAGATTTTAAAAAATCTATTAAATCTATAAAAATCTATTAAAACTTTGAAATTTTTAAAAATATTTTTAGACATGAAACCACTTTTAAGTTAAATCACCATTTGGAAAAAGTAGACTTAAGATTTAATGTAAAAAAAATAATTAAATTTAAAAATAGAGACTTTACAAATTTTTTTTTATTAATAATATCGCTAGCATATTTATTTTTTTTTTCAAGCAAAAATCAAACCGTGCTCGATGAATCATGCTAATAAAGATTAGTATAAAATATTTATAAACTTTTTGTCTGGTCATGCAAATGTAGCATCCTTGTTTTAAGTTTTCCGTCTCCAATTTTATGACATTTCAAAAACTACCAACTAATCTGACTAAAGTTACACTCAACAAACAGGTGTCGCAAAAAACTATCCTTATAAACTTGCCCTCAAAGGAAATAACACTTTTTAGCTCAAAAAAAAGAAAATTGTGTGTCTATAATAACGTTAAAAATGTTAAAATAAACCAATTAGTTTTTTAAAATACAAGATATAAATACAGTTTTATTTCAACCCTTCTTTTAACTTTTTTTGTTGTTAAATAAAAAATTATTTAATCTCATTTTTCTCTACTATCTTGTAAAGTTCAAAAACGGCGTTTCAATGCTTTAGTCTTACCAAATTTTGATTTTTCATCCCAACTGACTTTTGCATCATTCAAGCAGAAACTTAAAAAAATTATATTTTTAATTGAAAATATCTTGATTTACTTTTAATTGCCTTTTTTTTGTTTTGTTTTTGTTGTTGTTTTATTTTGTATATTATTTGGTTTAAAATTTACCTTGGCTTTTTAACATTTTATCTTGGTTTTTAAATATTTTTGCATAGAGGTGTATTATTATTATTTCACTACAGACATTGTATTTTTATTAAAAGTTAACCATATATTGTTAAGGGCTTCATGACAAGATCCTCATGATCTTCTAGAAGTCCTGTCGTTACTAATGTAAAAAATTGTAAAATATATTTAGTTATTGTAATATTAAACGGCAAAATTAAAAAAAAATAAAAATAAAAAAATAAAAAAAAGTTTGCAAGCTTGTACAAGTACCACATTGCAAATGTATTGTTTTCTACATGCAATAGTAGTTTATGAAATCTCATCTGTTAAAGATGAGATAAGCATTGTCTTGTTCTTTAAAAGGAACAAAAAAAGAACAAAAAAGTACATTAAGTTAAATAAAGACATTAAGTTAAATCAACATTACTAGAAAAGCCAATTAGGTTCTGGAAATTGTAATCCTTTTTAAAATAACGTAAGTTAAGTAAAAAAACAACATGACAAGAAAAACGAATTAGGTTTTTAAAAAATTTACAACTTATTAAATTAGATAACTATTTAGCAAATAGGAAAAAAAAGTAGCATAAACTTTTTTTAAAATAAGTCTTTCGTCTTGGCATTTTTATTCATCTTTGTAAATCTAGAGTAACGAGTTTAGAGTTTACAAACATGCGGACTGTTAGAAATCATACAATCGAAAAGAATGAGTTTTGAGGATACAAATTAAGAAAACTTTGCATCTCATTGTAAAAAATGCTGCGTAGAATTAATTACAATATAATACAAAATGAGCTCGTTTTACGTATAATAAATCTTAAATCATATTATAAAATTAGCTAATTAAACTGAATTTCAAAAATTCTATGCAAAATTAGATTTTATCATTTAAGAATTAACGTCAAAGAGTGATTAAAATATTTTTAAATAATAAAATTTAAGACAAAATTAAATATTTTGTTTGAAAAACCATTGTTCGGAATATTATTCCGTCACAAGCCAGTAACTTTGTTCTTCATTTCATCATTTTATTCAGATCTGCTGAGAGAAGGCGAAACATTGCAATACAGAATTACAGAAAAAAAATGGTAGTTAAATTCGAATTTTTTCTAATAAATTTTTTACAAATTTTTCAAAATAAGTTTTTACTAAAAAAGCAGCTTAATTTATGAATAACGTTTTTTTTTAGAAAAAGATTCTTAGTTTTGTTTTACTATTTATGGTAATACATGGTCTAGGTATTTATATTTATTTACGCTCATTTTAAAAATGATTATTGACAACGTTGAGTTTCTATTTTTGTTCTTACTGATAAATTATTTTAAGTAAATCATTCAAAAAACTCCATAACAATGTATCACACATATACTTCTATGTTAAAGTTTTACAAAAACCACTTTTTTTTTACTACTATTAATTCTGACTGGTAGAACAGTCAGAATTAATAGTAGTAAATAAATATGTTAAAGAAATATTTGTAAGAAAGTTAGCACCTAAATCAGAGGTAACAAAGAGTCTGCTTTTTTGTTTTGCATTTTCGTAATACAAAAAATACATTTTAAACATTTGAATACACTGCTTGTTGTCATTTACAAATTTAAACTCATTTCTTTATAAGTACTTTATTTTTCGCACTTTCTTTATAAGTACTATAGACTTTATTTTTCACACTTTCATTTTTAAATAATTGCTTGACTGAACTTTAGAAGATTTCATTTTTCACATGGTATTTTAGGTGAATCTTTAGCAAGTTCTGTAGAGGCACGAGGTAAGATTCATCAATATTAATCAAATTTTAGAAATTGAATGTTATTTTTTTTTACGATGCATTTTTTCTTCTTTATTAATTACTTAAAATGTGCTTTTTTCTTTACATCAGAATATGTTAACATTGAAGGAACGCATACACTGAAGAAAAATAACTTGGTCGGGGTTTTGTCAAAATTAAAAGTTAAGTTTAATGTTTTTTTCAGTATAAAACTCAACAGTTTTTCAGATGGATATAAAAGTGTCCTTCATTTGACTATGGGAGAGGATAATGAAAAGTACGGTGATCGAATCCCTGGCGTTTGGATTTATAATCAAAGGTTGTACGTTGTTTTTGCAATAAATGGTAACAAAAATAGTTTTTTTACATCCAAGCCACTAAAACTTGGCCAATGGACACATATTTCAATAACTCAAGATATTATCCGGGGAAAGACTAAGTTTGGGGTATATATTAACTATGGAAAAGAATATGAAGTAGAAAACTTCAACGCACAAGAATTTACAAATGTCAAAATATACTTTGGAGATCCATGGTATGAAGCCCAAGATGGTTTAATCAAAAACTTCTGGGTCAACGAAATCCCTGATAGTAAGTTTTGTTAATTTTTCTTGAAGTTTTTTAACTTTTTTTACATAAATGTTTTTGTTACATGTTAAAACTTATTGTGTGCAATGAGGCAGGGATTTTAAAAGCGGTTTAAGGGTGGTTAGATTCTTTTTGTTTTGATCTGTTATAAGGTAATTTATCGGTAAGTTTTATGTACTCGAATTTTATTGATCCTGAGTTTTCTTCATTTTTGTAGAAAACTAAAAGTTTTTACTTGAAAGTTTTTACTGCGCGAGTTTTAACGTAAACTACGTGGCAAAGACTAAATATGCGGTTTATGAGTAGTTAAATAGTTTTTGATTTGTTCGGGTTACCGATAAATTAAAATAGTTTAGTGTTACGGTTTTTCTAAAATTATTATTTATAATATTTTCCGATTATTCTGTTGTATAAAAACACAAAACATCTTAAACAAGTTTTAAATAAAGTATACTCCCAAACATAACATTTAAAACTTGAATAAAGTGGAGATATTTTGAGCAAGTTTTTAGTTAGGCGGACATAAAATAATGTAATAGGCAATCAGATAGAGTGAACATTAGATAATTTGACAAAACATTAAATAAGTTGACAAAACAAAAGTTAGAGAGATTATGTTTGCGTGAAACTCTGTTTTGTTTTTGACATAAAATACTGCGTTGGTCTTTCGTACCCTAAAATTAGTGCTTAATCAAAAGATAAGTTATTGGGGATGCAGTATATATAGCAATGCAGTACCATAAAAATGGCACTGCATTGTTATACATGTGTTATTCCAATTTTATTTAAAAATTAACCGCTAATTAACCGGCATACCGGTAATTCAATAATGCCAGAAAATAAAAAAGACGGCAACTTTACAAATCCTACTATGTTGTTGTATTAGTTACTACGGCGATATTATAAACCTTCACTGTTTTTTTTTTTAACAAAAAAAGGGATGTCAACTTTATCATCTAAAGAAACTTTAACTTTCATATTTCAGTTTTTTACTGATATATTATTATAGAATAGTATTTAACTGTGTTAACATTATCATACAATTTTATATTATGGGACGATCTTGTTTTATAATGCATACATTGTTTATTTCGTTTCTACTATTTTTCTATTTTTATTTAGAAGTGAAAAAAAGTTTGAAAAAGGATGCAATACAAAAAAAGAAGTTTGGGCCCGAATTTTAATGTGTAACAACGACTTTTTTTCTGTTTTGAACTTTTAACTTAAAATGTATCTGTTTAAATTTTTTTATTTAAAATGTATCTTTGCTATTGTATTCTGTTTAATATTTTATAAAAAGAATAACATTTCTCTTTATGTTGATATTATTGATCATAAAAAAATTTTTTATTTTACATATTAAAAAGTATTTAAATTACGCATAATATATATTTTACTTAATATAACCATTATCATATTAAGTAAAATATAATATTACTATATTAGGTAAAATATTAAAGGTTTTAATAAAGCTTAACATTGGATGATAATCGTAACGTAAGCTAGAAAAACTTGTTATTTGAAATACATCAGGGTATCATAATATGCACATAAAGTTTTTTTATTTTAGATTGCTCTAATTTTTTTCAAGACAAATGAGACTCCATTGTTTTACATTTAAACATTAAGACAAATGAGACTGCATCGTTTTACATTTAAACATTAATTACAATCATCAAATCACAAATTTATTTTTTCATTAATTACATTTTTTTAATTACATTTTTACATTTATTACATTTTTACATTTATTATTTTTTCATTAATTACAAATCACAAACTACAATCGTCTTAATCGTTCCGTTAAAGCGGAAATATTTAAAGCAAAAATATTACATGAAAAAGAAATTAAAATCAAAATCTCAGAACAACCCAAAACTCGTTTTCAAATACATTAATAACCAACTAAAAATTAAAGATAAAAATCGTTCTCCCAAAAATGCTTCAGGTGAAATTACTGAAACTCTTCCCAATATACTTAAACTTTTGAGTTCTCAATTCAAATCTATGTTTACTCTTGAAAGCCCCAAAAATTTTCCATTGTTAAATAAAAGTGAAGTTACACCTAAATGCAATTATAATAGCAACTTGGATTTTTCCATTGCAGACATTATTAATGAACTTACCAACCTAAACCCTTACGAATCTTCTGGACCTGAAGGGTTGCACCCTTTAATACTTAAGATATGTGCCAAAAACTTCGCAATTCCACTTACAAAAATCTTCTATGAATCTCTCAATTCTGGGATAGCACCAACTCTCTGGAAATTAGCAAATATTAGGCCGATCTATAAAAAAAAGGGAGACAAACTACTTCCTGAAAACTATCACTTTATTTCACTTACCTCTGCGTGCAAAATATTTGAAAAAGTTGTAAAGAATAAAATCTTGAAGCACATTAACAATAACAATCTGCTCTCTACAAATCATTATGGCTTCCTTCATCATAAATCTTGTGTAACCAATCTAATAAAGACTTTTGATATTATTTCGTTTTCCCTAGCATTGCACCAGTTTATAGATGTAATCTACCTCGACTTCGCTAAAGCTTTTGATTCCGCACCTCACACCAGACTCATTTTAAAATTGAAATCATTCGAAATAAACGCCAAACTACTACAATGGATTAATTACTTTTTAGTAGGCAGAAAGCAACGCGTTACAATTAACAATATTAGCTCTGACTGGGTTGATGTTCTTAGTGGGATTCCTCAAGGTTCTGTTTTCCGCCCGCTCCTCTTTATTCTTTTTACAAACGATTTTGCCCAACTTACAGAAACTTCTGATATATTTGCAGACGATACTAAACTTTCTTCTAAAACTTCATCGCAGACTAATTTCGTTGATCTGCTGGACCGTCTACGCTTAGTATACGAGTGGTCAAACACTTGGTTACTTAAATTAAACATTTCAAAATGCTGTGTTATCCATTATGGTAAAACCAATCCTATGTATAGCTACTTTTTAAAAAACAACCAAGGTATAAATGAAAGCCTAAGAAGCTCTGTTAAAGAGCGCGATTTAGGATTCATTTTTACATCTAACCTTAAGTGGAGTACACATGTTCAATCAGTTGTCTCCAAATCTTTATAAATTCTTGGTATGCTAAAAAGGACATTCACCATTGTTGATGAAAAAATGGCTCTCAAATTATAAAAAGTGTTTATAAGACCACACCTGGAATATGCAGTGTCTGTTTGGGCCCCGTATTTAAAAACTGACGTAGCTTTGGTTGAATCTGTTCAGCGTAAAGCAACACAAAATGGGCATTAAACTTGAGAAATCTTCAATACAATGAAAGACTTAAAAGACTAAACTTACCATCACTCGAGTTTTGGCGCCTACGATGCGATCTAATACAAATTTTTAAACTAATAAATCGATTTGATATAATTAATAATATATATCAACCAAAATTTATTAACTCATTGTCACGTGGTCACCATCTTAAAATAAGAAGTGAATATGTTTCAAACTGTCTTCCAAGACACAACCAATTATATAATAGATCAGCAAAATACTGGAATGAACTACCCGAGCATGTAACTTTATACTCCACTGTACTTTCTTTTAAAATAGATTAGATAACTGGTTGAGGATAAAATTCGGAACAAATATTTATAAAACTGGTTGTTTATAGTAGGGTGTTTTCCCTGCTTGCTGTATGTATATATGGTATGTATATTTTACGGCTACAACTATGATATAGTTTTACATTTAAACATTAAGGGGGAGAACCTCTCAAAAAACATTTTTTTTTCGATTTTTTTTCTTCCAGATATTTTAAAAGTAAATTTATTAGGAAATCAAACGGTAAAAACCTTATTCGAAAATCGCAATTTTTTATATCAATAAATGATATTTTTGTACAACCACCTGAGTTCAAAATTACCTAGCAACGTCCTTAGTTACAGAAAAACTGTCAATAAAAAACATCTAGTATAGCTTTTTTTCCAGTTGTTTTTTTTTGCAGTTTAGTTTGAAATGCTTCCCATTATCTCTAAAACCGTACTTTAAAACCACCTATTTGACTTATAGTGCTGAAATTAGTCATCTTTTTAAGCTTCTACACAATCAACTCAAGCTTTCTATATAATTAAAGAAAATGGACAAGTCTAAAACATAATATAATAATGATAGAGTAAAATTTTCAACTAAACGTCTTCAAAAACGTAATTTTTCTGGTTTAAGAAAGCAAAAAAGTGTGTAAATATTGGTGTAAATAATGTTAATAGTAATGATGTAAATATGGTAGACTTTGTAAATATTGAAAGTGAAAGTGTATTTAAAAGTGCATCAAAGAAAAAGTAAAGTCAAAATGTCATGCCTGGTTTTCTCAAAGTACTGTTGCGGGAAGTAACTCTTTTTAACTACTCCAGGTCAGGTCAGGATAATCAAGATCAATCTTGCTACTGGTATCACGTAACCCAGTACCACCTGCCACAAGCCCTGCCGCCTTGCAGAGTGTGCTCTTCTTAGGCAAAGGCTAGGAGAAATTAACTTCGACTAAATATTCCCCTGCCTAGGGGCTCTTGGTTGAGTAAAGGCTAGAGATGGTGTCTCGATAAAAATACTCATCTTGGGCAGATGTTAACTGCATCCAGCTACTGTCTTGTAGAAGGCCTCCTAGGCAAAGACTTTAGGGGTAAGCAGAAAAATTCTGCTAACCAGCCTCGAACCCCTTCTTCATCTATTAGGCTGGCGTAGATGTAACCTGTGTTACATTGTTTTCTGCCTAGGATGATGAATGCTGGATCTCCTTGACTCTACTCATAGAATTTTGCTTATGCCTCCTTGATAATGGCTATACAACTTTTCCTGTTATCTCCATTTGAGGGTACAGCTCTAAAACTCAGTTTAATGGTTCTGAGGCCGGCTGGTAGTAAGGTTTCCCGAACTCTGTGGTAGCTCTCAGAGAGGCTGATTCCATCAACAGCTGCAAAATATCAGAGTATTAACAGTGCCATGTTGCGCATGAATGGTGTCCCTGTTAATGCTTTTGGTGTGCATTGTCAAGGCCAGATAAGGAGCCCTATGTCACGGCTTAGGGTTAATTAACAGGACTGAGACAACTGCATAGCTCATTGATTAGGAGGCTGTGCTCTATCTATGAATGAGTCAAGTTCTCATTAAACCCAAATCATGACCAAAGTAACCAAAAATTTAAAACCTAAAAAACCATCCCCACCATCTAAATATTTTAATACATCTTTTACAAATATTCGCGGTCTACGAAGCAACTTTCCGTCAGTTGAGTCTTACCTCCTGCAAAATTCACCAGACTTGCTTGCACTCAGTGAAACAAATTTAAATTCTGCAATTCCTTCCTCAGATGTCAGTGTTTGTGGGTACTATCCTTTGATTTGTAAAGACTCCAATAGTCACATGCTAGGTTTAGGGGTATACATACGCATTAATTCCCCTATTTGTCGTGAAATCAGGTTTTTTTTTTTTTTTTTTTTATTGTATCTATTTAGGTGCTCCCAGAAGTCCTTACGGTCTTATCATAGAGCACCGCGGGAAAGCATTTAACGGAAAGTTCACGCCTCCTTCCGTACCAATGTCGCTTGTTGGGCTGGACCTGGCGTCGAACCTCGGACCTCTGGGTTCTGAGCCAGAACTCTAACTACGCCACGGCTTGCTGTTCGAATCCTTTGATTATTCTTTTATGTGCTTTCGCCTAGCACCTCTTCACTCTATCACCTTTCTCTTTGTTCTTTATCGTTCTCCTTCTTCCCATGATTGCACTCTTTTAGATGTTATCTCTGATCAAATTGACCATGCCCTCTCTCTTTACCCCTCTGCCAATATTGTTGTTGTTTGTGATTTTAATGCCCATCACACTGAATGGCTTGGCTCTAACACCACTGATCCTGCTGGCACTAAAGCCTTTAATTTCTGCGTTTCTCAATCCCTTACTCAGATAGTTAACTTTGTGACTCGTTTTCCTGACAACCCTAATCATTTACCTTCACTCCTTGACTTATATCTTGTCTCTGACCCTAGCTTATGTTCAGTTTCTCCCTTTTCTCCCTTAGGTGGTTCTGACCATGCAATGATCTCTATAAAGCTTTCTTCTCGTACTTCTTTTTTGGGCTCACCTTATCATCGCACCACCTACTACTACCCTTAAGCTGACTGGGATTCCTTTCGTGATTTTCATCGTGATGGTCCTTGGGCTGATGTTTTTCTCTCTCAGCTGACAAATGCGCCTTCTATGTAACCTCCTGGATTCAGGCTGGAATGGAAGCTTTTATTCTTTCTCGTCGGTTTCAAGTCAAGCCTCATTCTACTCCATGGTTTTCTCCTTTTTGTGCGGCTGCTATTTCCAATCGTAATCATTTCTTTCATCTTT